ATAATTGAAATGACGAACCTCGCCTCGACCATGTGGCTGTTTGGCGCACGTACTGACCAGTCGCATTCACTTCGAAGTGGGTAGACATCCGGGTAATTCGGAGACGTCAGCGAATAATTTGAACCAGGTCCGTAGCACAACAGTTCCACCACAGGAGGCTAAAAAGGACTTCATATGAACATTCGTCCTACAAGTCGCTCAGATGAACCAAGTTGTGGAGTGTTTTGTGCCCTGCAGAGAGGTACTGCCGATCGATACAGCCCAAGTTACCCATGGTAACCATCCCATTCCTAGATGGGGTCAAAACTCACCTAATTCGTAGACCGCCGTGAACCCATTGCTCGCTGCGAAGGAGTCAGTACGGATTCTTACGAATAAGAAATTGCCAGTAGAGTAGATCGTCGATGGAGCGTAGATGTTGCAGTACCTTAATAACCATTTTGATATTAAGATGGAGATCCCATGAGCAGTCGGGAAGGACTGATAAGGTACCACAAAAAGGCCTTAAAATGCTTTCCTATATTAAAGAGCAGGTGGTACGATAAATTGGTCATTGAAAATTAAAGCAGAGCCGGCAAATGGTGGGGCCAGAACTTAAGAGAACGGTCTCAAACTCAACCCCCTTCCTCCCTCTGTCGTTTTTCACGCTGGGCGAGATTTGACAACAGATGAAGTTATAAGTGTGAACGCTGCATAACACCTTGCCACCTACTAATCATGGCCCGAGTTCGCCACCTGGAGGCGGAGTTTACCAAGAAGTGGCCTTCACCTCGGGTAAGGCTCTGCTAGGCCGCCATTGCAGCGCCCTAACACAAGTTTACAGATATATAACGAACCGGCCAATCAGCGGCGAGTGTTCCGTAGGACCATCGCGAATCTCCAACCAGTCACATTCCTCGCAGCCACATCTGGAATATTTACAATTACTAGAATTCTGATAAAGATTGCAATTACACTCTGAGGTCGCTGTACGCTAAATTAAGTTGTAATGAAGCTAAGAACCAGAAAACACGCACTCATCGTCAGCCGATTCCATTTTGAAATGTTCTGGATCAACAGTGAACTTCAGACGATGCCCGTTCGGAGGCCCGCAAAGTGTACTGACAGTCGAGAGAGTGTGGTAGGTCTAAATAATAGATATTAGGAACGCTGATCAATGAGCTCCTAGAGAAGGTCTTCATCCCCAGTTCATGAAGAGCTAATCTTTTTATTGGGCAATTGCAGATCAGAATAAGCCATGCAATATTGAGACACAGGGCCACACCCAGTACTTCCATTAAGGTATCTAACCAGGGAAGGTGAACGCGTCGGTCCAGCCATCCGAAATGAACAGTACAGCGTTGCAGTAATCGAACGAGGGATTGAAGCGGTTGGCTTTTATGGCGTATGATCCAGAATTGGCGCCGGGCTACGCGCATGGAAGCGGTGCCATTTTGAAAACTACAGCACTTCCACCGAGATATGTGATCGGAAAAAGCAGATAGTTTAAATGCTAACACTATAGTATATATGCGCTGATTAAACTAGTGAGACCTTTGAAGTTCCCAACCTTCACCTATCCGCGTCGTGGGGTCCCGTCCAAAGTCGCATTCTTGGAGAAGGTGTATGACAGTTGAAGGTGCGCCCGCCCTGAATCACGGTGCTAACTTAGTTGGGGGGGGCCACGCGGCGGCGCGGCAGTCTGCTCGCCTGGCATGTTCGGAAATCCGTGGGCCAGGGGGAGTGTAGGCAGTCTAGGGGGTGGGGGGTGGGGGCAGTCACTTGACATGCGTGAAAAGCTGGAATGTTCGAGTTTACACTGTCTCGCTCGAGAGAGCCCAGGTGAGCAGACTGCCGCGCCGCCGCGTGCCCCCCCCCAACTAAGTTAGCACCGTAACTGTATACATACTTCGCTATAAATTTGGCCAGTGAAGCGTCCCGGGCCAGTGAAAGATCAGGCAGAGGCAGCAGGAAGGAAACAGACAGAAAAGAGCCGTGCGTAGGCTGGTAGGCTTGAGTGTTGAATGTTGAAGCCGCGCTGAGGTTGAGGGCATATGTCCAGAGTCAATCGTCGCGGTTCGTGTTTTAGAAAAGTCATCTACCACCAAACAGAGGGGAACCACGCAAATACGAAATCTACCAGCGACCTCGTCGCAATGGCCATTTATATAGCGTTCGTTTCTGAGATGAGAAGACAGACTAAAATTGCCACTGTGTTCTCCGTCATCGAGCGCGAATGCATGAGTCTGGCGGGAGCGCCTGATGTAGAACGCTTCCTCTTGAATTTCTTGACAAAGTTCATCAAGAAAAGCGCATTCCTAATGACCCTGCCCCACACAACCATTTCAAATCCTCGAACGGACCGCCTCGATGTTAACATAGACATTGACATCGCACTCTGATGTAGGCGAGCTCATGGTCCAAGTGAGACTTTTCTCGTATAAAACTGTGATTGAAGACTGCGGTTTGCTTGAATCTCTCGTTTCGGAACCTCTGAGAAGGACGCCATGTTTTGAGAAATAGCCCTTCCATCTTGATATTAGTGATAATAAGGTAAACTAAACTGAACCATGGTAATTATTCTGAACAAAACAGTTACATTGGGTATATTATAGTACACCGACTGCATAATCCTACATCCGGTAATCGAGGGAGTTTTTGAGAAACCTTGGAGGGCTCGCTCTCATCAACGAAGAAGATTTTCAGAGCTGCAGTCCTCAGAGATCTCGAATATTCGCATTTTGAAGCCCTGAAAATAACCACTTGGAGTGTCACATCTGATTGAGTAATCAGTGGCAATCATCAAAAAACCTTACTTTATTCCTTTTTCCAGTATTGGTGTAGCGCACGAACACCTCCCATTCATGGTGCCGTTGCGAGTGGCCATGAGTCAAGCGTGCCACAGAAAAGCGATTCCTTCTTATTTGGACCAAACTGAGTGGAGCGGGGTGACTGCAAAGAAACTAATCAATAAATATTAATTCAATATGGAAATGCTTGAAAATAGTTTCAAAGGTACGGTAATCGGAACCATGGTGATGGCGAATGCCACACTACCACTAGCGTCAGAGATCAGTAACTAAACCAATTCACATCACCAACCAGACTGACTTCTTGCCGTACTGATTCGTGGTGCTGCTAGCCCCCGACTACCGAGCCAGGTCTGCAAAGCTGCCAAGAGCTCATTCATATTACCGCTACCACTAAACCATTCTTGAAGAAAATGAACTAACTTTCTAGGCTAACACATTTTGAGGGCAGAAGTAGTGCAGTGGCAAGTGGCTCTATTTGTCGTGCGCGCGGTCCGTGGACTAAATCCTGGGTCGTGTCGCCAAAAGTAAGCCACCCCTCCGTGGGCGGTTAATTGTACCAGACTTGTCTGGGAGGAAAAAAAACACTGACTTGAACATCGGCTGGCCCCCGCAAGTCATTGTATAGGCCACATCGCATTCAAACGCCACTACGAATGTACAAATGGAAGTAGAATGCGTGCCGCATCCCAAAAAGGGAGCGAATTCCGACGCGCAGATGGCCTCCTTCATTCTTTTAAGGTATTCAAAGCAGAGCCTAGTGTAAGCAGTTGAAGAGGCCCAGAACAGCTTGTTCAGTATGATAACAGGGCAAAACGTAACATCAGACACCATTTCTTCGTTAATAAGACCTCATTTGAATTCGAGAAGCTGATCAGACTGGGAGCATCCACCAGCGCATTCAGCTCATTTAAAACCGCTTTGGACAAGCATCTTACATCATAGCTCCTTAACTTTTTTTCCTTTTTCCTCTGTGTCAGTTACTGCTCTTCATATTTGTTTTAATGTTGTTTTACGCATAGATGTGTTTTGTTTGCTTGTTTTTTTCGTTGGCTCACACATAGGCACACCTGTGTAATAAACAAATGCAAACAATGGAGCAATAGTTCAAGCAAAACCAACCACAGACAACACATCTTGTGTGCATTGGTCGGTCTTCTCCAAATCGAGATCGATCACTTCGTATCCAATGCGTCGATTTGAGGCGAGAATAATGGACCACATACATTTCTGAAATCTCAGCAATCGTCTTTTCCAAAAATTTTTTATAAAAAAAAAGGAAGGCGTTACAAAGCATCGGAGTGAATCGCTCCGTCGAAATCCGAGCAACTTGTAGGCCACTGACTTACCTCGTCAACCTGCGGCTCTGGGTAGCCAGGATTTGTGAGCACATGATCGAGTAAGCCGTACGACTGCCGGATGTAGTCGAAAGAGTTGCATGCTGAACGCATAAGGATTAGAGTGATATTTAACTTTTACTGCTTAAATATTCGGACACGCTACGCTGCGCCGCCAAGGTCATGGATAAGAAGGTCATTGGTTGTGACTAATTTTGCAAATTCAGTTGGTAGGAGACCGGACTGATCAATAGGTTTCAGGATTTTTCAGGAATTTTTAATTGTGATCTGCACAAGGTGTGAAAACGATAACACATGACAGAATGCCAATACTTGACTTGCTACGAAACAGCAGGGGGAGACAAGGCATACGTGTTTAAAGCCTTGACAAAACATCATTGTGGCCGAAAACGGGCCTATTGACGATATCAAGGCGACACACTCCACAAACCATCTTTTGTCGCGTTCGTCGATGACATCTGAATGGCAAAATTCCTGCGTCCACTTGTCACCTATGCTCCTCGCCTGTTTTGGTGACATATATGTGCCACTCTTCCCGCTTCAGAATGAGGAGCCTTGATTCGATTTCGGTATCATTACTTCTTTTCCTTCTAAGGCAAAGGTCGGGCTCAGGCACGCTAGAGAAGTAATTCCCGTGCCTGGAGGTTGTATGTGGGTAGCTGCACACATTGCAGCAACAACCTTGAAAAACCCCGTTAAGGCCCCGGGGCGTTCGGTTTCAATCCAGGGCCGCCTGGTCAATCCAGGACCGCCCACCTCCGGAACTGCCATACGTGAAATCAGCTAGGATGATTGCCGTATCAACCGATAGAACGACTGACATCTCCAGAAAACTTGTTTTCCCCAAGCCAGCCTCCTTCACTGCTAGTGGGAAAGAGGGTTTTGTTAACGGCCTTGTCGACGGTTTTTCTCAGTTTTTTCTCCACTGTCGTTCCACTTCGCATCTCTATACTCAGTTTCAATCGCCATAATACCCCCTTATTGAGCCCGACTTTTGCTTTTAATTCACTCCTCCACTTCACTTTTATTTGCAAGGCGCTATGACCACCCTGGTGATCGAGGAAGGATGCTTTCTGCCTGGACTCACACATCACTTTAGAAACCCAATCAACCCAAACCAAATATGCAAAAACCCAGATAGGCCAAAAAATAACCCGAATATCAGAACAGTTGTGTAAAAGTAAATTTTCTTGCAACACGCTGATCGCTCTCTGCCTTAGCTACGATCAACAACTCTAAAAAGGAAAACCTACTCAGACGAAACTCCAACTTGAAGCCGCGGCCACTCCTTGAGCGATCGGACACGAAATGCACGTACAACACCTGAATTAGGGAGGTGGAATCTCAGTATGGACATTCGGAAGAAGACAATTCACTGAGACGATCCACAGTTGTGAAAACTGATTCGACAAACCTTGTTGTAAGAGTAATCGAGAGTCACGTTGGCTTGTGCTGGACGACAGTATTTCTGGCCATACTGGAAGTCGCTAAAATGCCGAAATTCTTTGGGATTTATTGCTAGTTAGGCTTCCATACTGGAAGCGAACCTGTACGGTCAAGGTGTAAGCGACTTGTGGCGCGGAATTCACAGCGAAATTAGACTTCTGGGTTTCCAGGCGAAGGTCATGAGATCAGATCCATAATGGGTGATCTATTTTGACGCATAGCATAGCGCTTTTGGCGCATAGCAAAGACAAGAAAGGCTTTCAGCGCCGCAATTCTGACCCATTCTGGATCTGAGAGATGCCATATGGACATTGGTAGATACATTAAGCTCTAGAAAATTAATCAGTCAAAGAAAGTGGCTGTGATGGGTGAGCGATGCTGAGCCTCATTGCTGGAATTTCATTTGAGGATGGCAGCAATCGTACTCGCAGAGCGGCGAAGAGTCTGGTACGTCAATGACGCCACCAGAACCGCCCCGCCTCTCAGCCCTCGCGCCTCATTGCTTCCAAAAAATGAACAACTATACAAGCTTGAGCACTACCTCAAAATAACGATCTAATATATATAGTTCATAAGTTCGTTCGGACACTCACTCTCCACTGCCTTCAGAGATGTCACGATCAGGCACCAGCGAAACGAAGTCAAACGGACAGCCTGGCACAGCTTCCAGATCCAGCAATGTGAACTAAAAATGTCATGTAAGTCAAAGCTAAACCTTCCAGAAAAGCTTCGCATGCAATTTTTCACCCTGCTGAAAACGCAGGAAAACGTCTTTTCGAGCAGACAACCGTCCAACATTTTTATTAAATACCGCCTAGTCCAATTTAGCAGACCAGTGGTGGCGTCAAGTTATTCACAAAGTCTGCAGTAACACATGTTAGTACTTCATTTCAATCGCCCTCATTTTTTTAGCGGGAGGCATTGAAAACAGGGCCGATGGTAGGTGACACTAGGACTGAAGCCCAGGAAAGGGGAGAAACGCCAGGGAGAACACAATTGCTCACATCTTCCCCAGAATCCTTCCCTCCTCAGGGCTCAGTCCTAAGCACAGTAATCGGCTCACTCACTTGAATGTCCCCCGTTACCTTAAAATGAAAGCATTCCTGGTGACTGGTGCAAGGGTCACGAATGAACCATAATTTTTTCTCAAAACCCTCAAAATCACATTGCGCGCTAATCGGACGGATGAGCCCACCCCAGAAAAAGTTCAGCTTTCAATTCGTCGTGGTCATCTCTCTTCCTTGTTATGGATAATAATTACGGTAGAAGACGGTAGGGAGGTCAGATCAATCTACGACACTTGCGAAGGGAATGGGTGGAGCACAAGCCCCGCCCATGCAATCATCGCGCGCCTCGAACTTATCAGTTCTTACTGGCAAGTCTCTTTCACTGAGGGTCCTCTCTCACTGAAAGATCTCGAGCCGGTTGGTGGCGAGGCTACGTGGCGCGACCCCAGGTGGCGGATAGGGGGTAAATCGCGGACCAAAAGCCACCATGTACTTGCCCTGAGACGCAGGTGGATTCAGGGGATGGACTCCCTGTTTCTGCGGTGCTGTGTTGATTCATACCGGGTTCCATGGAAGATGAGAATATGATTTTGAAGTAACGGCCTAGAAGTGTCAAAATAACTCACCTTCACTCGTAATCCGGTCATCAGCGGTCTCTCAATCGTCCATTTACAGTGCATGTTATTTTCATAACCAGTGTCTGAATTAAGTAAGAACTAGTGAACTCTTTGATTGTAAGAGCTTGACCATACAGTGATTTTCGATACTTTGTCCTTTTTACAAATACACTTTTTGCGGAAGTGAATGAAAGTCATGTTTGGCTAGTAATACATGTAAATTTTAGTAATTCTATAAAATTCTAAAATTCACCTGCGCCAGGAGGTTTCGGATTGCTCAGCTCCTGCCATTCCCATGTTGGAATCATCACAGATCCGCATGAGTACACTAAAATAGATCACTAGAGATTACAAATTAGTAGGGACGGCTCACAAAATGTCGCTGAAAGTCAACGCGCGACGAATTCTGAGATCAGAGATCAAAGGATCATCTCAAAGAGGTAAGCAAACCAGCTTTTGCGTTCTGTGGGGCCATATGCTGAATGTTGGGGAGGAGATGGGGTCCTCCCGAGCTCGACGGACTACTTGAACTCGGTCGGTACGGTAGGAGAGTGATGACGAAGTGGTGCAGCTAGGTCCAGCAGCTCCGCCAAAGGGGCTGGTTTGCTTACCCCAGGACTAAGCCTTGGAGAGAGGACGGACCTGCGCTCTCTCGCAGGTCCGTCCTCTCTTTAAGGCTTAGTCCTGAGGTAAGCATCAAATTGAGGCGGTTTTAAGGACCGAGTTGAAGTAGTCCGTCGACCGTCGGGGACCCCATCCCCTCCCCAACATTTAGCATACGGCCCCAGCAGAACCAAACGAGAACCAAACCGGGTGGTTTGCTTACTTCCAATTCAACTGTCATCATTTCTTCACTCACGATCAGACTGCGAACTTCAACGAACGCCATTTTCAAACAACAAACCCTTCGCCCTACGGAAATCTCATTCGTTGGCTCCATTTGTACATATTTTAACCGTGCACTACAGAACAGCTAAGAAGTCTTATATGGCCGAAAGGATAAAAATAAAAATAGCATTTGCCGTTGATCAATCCCTTTTGGGATGCGGCACGCATTCTACTTCCATTTGTACATTCGTAGTGGCGTTTGAATGCGATGTGGCCTATACAATGACTTGCGGGGGCCAGCCGATGTACAAGTCAGTGTTTTTATCCTCCCAGACAAGTCTGGTACCAATTAACCGACCCCGGGGGATGGAAGGCTTGGTTGGCCCGGGCGACTCACGACCCAGGATTTGATCCCGGACCGCTCGCGTGGTGAAGCGCGCCACTTGTCACTACACCACTTCCGCCCAAGGGAAAGTTAGGGAACTCAAACCCCGCCATTGATTCGATGAGTTGTGAACTTTGGAGCTTCCTGTCAATTTTATGTTCTCTTCTGTCAGTGGTGAACCAATAAGAATAACGACGCTCACTTTCGTGCAAACAATCTCCGCCTACTCAACCGCGGCATGAGCCTCTAATTAACAGCTTTGGAAAACCGTAAATGGAAAAATGGGAAAAATGGAGTAATCGACCATTCTATTGCCTAACGGAGTACGGATTTTACCACAGCACGCCGCATAAATAGCAGTACAAAAATATCCCATTTTGACTGCACCTTTAGTGGCATTCGTTCCTTCTCCAGTTTCTGTATAATGGCGTCTCTCTTAGGAACACTCTGCCATGTGAGCGGAATTCACTTCGTGGTGGAGCGAAGAACGACACTTCCAAACGAGAGAACGGTAGATAGATGTCTGAAAATAGTCAGTGTAAGGCACTCAGTCCGGCCCCCAGTAATCCAGCCTTGCGATCCTCGTTATACACACTTGTTAAAAGATACCTGCTGGTGGAACGAGATCCGGCACCTCGTATTCGCTGCCGGGGTCGTCCGTTAGAACATAGCTGTGTTAGTTAGATTGTCGACAGCTTCGGCGAGTGATGCCCCAGTATCAATCTGTTGATTGGCTTTGAAGGCCCGGAGACGTTCATGTTCAGGTTACCGGACTCGTGCAATCATTGAAGGGCCTTA